GAGAGCTTTGCTTTCACTGGCAGGCTGTGCTGAAAGCCCGCTGTGTGCATTCTTTTGTCTGTTCCCTGCTTCATGAAAAAGCCAAGGAGGGAGTTTCTCTTGTTCAAGGCTATATATGATCTCTCTCTCTCTCTCCCTCACCCTCCCTCTCCACCAATTTCTTCAGCATGAGTGGGTTTATTTTCATTTTCAAAACCTCGCTCTCTGAATCCCTCACAGCTGTGTGTATGTGTGTGCGCACGTGCATTTCTGTGGGCAGGAGATTCTTGTAGTCATGGGAGAAAAGACGCACACTGGCCTGATCACTGTTTGCGAGAAATGGATGTGTAGATGTGTGTGTACATGCATGTGAGTGTACAGTATTGTGTGTATGTCTTTTGGAGTGTTTTTGTCTCTACAATGCCTGAGTCGGCCTGTCTATGTACTGATAACCCCACCAAAACAATGACTACAGCTTTGCCGTTGTCTGTTTATGGATGTGGATGTGGATGGAATGTTGGCGGTTTTCTTGGTAAGGTCAGGAAAGATAAGTGTCTCTCTGTGCAGGAGATTTGATTCAGCTTGAGACAGAGAAAGATTTGTTTTTCAACCCGTGTTGCCATGTAGTCTAGAGAACCAGTATGTGCTTTTGTGCCACATTTGCCAGCTTATGTATGTTTTCCTTATGGGTTCACTTCCATGTTTTGTTCCCCATAAGATTGTATCTAGTAAGCTGATTACTTTGTGTAAGTGATCACTTACCCCTGTGTTTTTAAAGAATTTAGTTTTACATGACCAGAAACATACAAAGCATGAACACAACATAAGCATGAAAACAGAGGTCCATGAAATTGGTTTATATAACTTGAATCCACATTTAAGTCCAGTGGAGAATAATCTAATTGACACACATAAATCCTGTCAGTTTTATTAGCATGATACATAAAGAACGAAAAATAATAAACCATCAAGCTAAGGCATTTATTCTTAAATAGCAAATTGTTTTAATCAATCATCTATAGAAGAATTTGAAGAATTTTATCTATACAGCACATTTCATACACAGAGGCAGTTCACAGTGATTTACATAGACAAAATCAACAATAAAAATAAACATTAACGGGTAAAAATTAATAAAGGTAAAGATAAAACATTGTAAAATAAAATACATGGTATGAAACAGGAAATGAAACGTGGCATTGTGCATCTTGGCCTCATGGGCGGAGTACTGGTTAACCGTGGCCTTTGGAAACCACTTCTGCTTGCACTGTATCATTTCATTATTTCAGAATCGGATTGCTCTGGAGTCAGCTGTCTCAGCTGTTAACATAATTCTATATGATATCTTCCTAAGTCTGCAAATGCAAAATGCAAAACAATGGCTTAAAGTACACATCATGTTATCAGGCAACAAGTGTACTTTTAATAGTTAAAATGTACATTACTAATTGTCTCTACGCTGTGGATTCTTAAGCCTCATCTGTCTGTGGCTCCCTCTCGCCTTCACCATGCTCAACCTCTCCACGTATTTCCTCATAGCCTCTAGCTGTCACAAACCCAGACAGTCTTCTCCTCCTCTTCACCAGCACTACCGCCACTACTATCACCACTGCCATCATACCCATCACCCCAAAGGCTATCCCTGCCTTTTCTCCACTGGACATCTGATTCGATTCTGTGTTCAGCCTTTCCATTATTTCCTTGATTTCCTCTGGTTTGGCCAGTTTCCACATTTTGGTCTGCCCCATTTTTTTGCCCAGCTCTTTCCCCCCTCCGTCATCACCATTACCGTGTTGCTGGCTTGCATGCTGAGAAGTGGAGCATTAGTGAAAGGGGGCAGATGGATTGGTTGAAGCTGCCCACCTGTGAACAGTCCTGACTGAACACAGTAAAGAATTTCACAGCCGTCACTCACTGTAGCAAGGTGCTGACTGCACT